CTAATTCAAGGTGTAAGTAATGCTCATTGTGACTAAAGGTGTTCCTCTAATAAGACAAAGGAGTGCAAAAAAAAAAAAAGCCTAATTTTCTTATCAGTTTATTACTTTACTTACTTAATTCATGTTTCGGCAGTAGACTTGGTCAGACATGACATGTGACAAGTCTCTTATCAGCTGTTGTGTCCTGGATGTGGCCGGCCTGACAGATCTATCAGACGGACCACACCCCGCGTCGCTGTGGTCTCTGTAGAAGTAAGTCCCATCATGTGTGAGCCAAGGTATAGGCCCCCTTGTCTCTGTTGATGGTCTCTACCTCCTATTTTTTTGGATTGTCCCAGTCCAGTATTTGATTTTTCTCTTTTGCACAGTCACACCATCACATTTGACAATGGTAAAGGTCTACAGGCAAAACATGTAAGGTAATTAGCAAGTAAGTCATATTTATTCATATAGCGCCTTTCATAGACACAAAGCGCTTTATAATTGTTTAGTTTAGTTTAGTTTTTTTATTTAAGATGACAAGGACAGTGCACAATAAACATTAACCTCAGAAGGAGAGATGCATTGTACCAGGTTATAGCTCAAGAGCTAATTTCCACCTGTAGTCCCTGGGCAGGCTGATGTCATATCACATTAAAAAGTAACACACGTTCATGGATGTAGTTTACATTTGGCCAAAATACAAGTCTTTACATGCACAATTTGTTTAAAACTCACATTCATATCACTCATTTATACTGGTTGTTGTGGGCATTTGTCCACTCACTGAACACATAGGAGTGGGGTCCCCATACAGGTGGCGCATACCAAACCTGTTGTACATGGTGGATGAACCGGAGCACCTGGAGAAAACCTAAGCCAGAGACTGGAAGGATATGCAAACCCCACACAGAAAGGTCTGGAGTTAGAATCAAACCCATGACCTACTTGTCTCACTAAAAGTTACAGTATGTCCATCATATTTCCCATGATTACAGCTGTTCTGTTCTTGTCCATTAGTAAAGGTCTTGTGGTGAAAGTCTGTTCTGAATGGACCGTGAGTTTGGAAGGAAGTGGCTTGAATAGTCCAGGGTGACAAGGGTCAGCTGTTTGCCCCCCGAGTAGTCCTTGAGACGTACGGGTCCTGGAGAGATAAAAGATTGCAAATTATTACCTTCTTACCAGAACACAAAGAGATGCAGTCTGAGTTTTGTCCTGGCAGTGGCCCTGAATACGTCACAGTAATGGGCTGAGGATGTACTCCACGATGGCACACCTAAAACTGAACCTGGACAAGCAGATGAGCTTTCCCTAACTCCTTTTCCAATTCTATGTATACACAATACGTCCCATCCGTCCATTTTCTTCTGTTTCATCCATTGCCGGGTTCGAGTGCAGATTCAGCAGACTTCCCTATCCACACACACTTCCTCCAATCTTAACTCAACCCTCACTATTCTTCCAGTCCTTTATAATATAAGCACACTATGGAATTTGCATGAGTTTTAGTTGTTCCAAAACGGTCTCATAGAACATATTGAACAATGGCGCAGCTCCAGTGACCCGATACACACTGAGGTCCTTGTGACTCACTGTGGTACTACACACTGATATAGACAACAGCCTCAGGCCTGCAGTTAGCATGTTTTGAAGCCTGCAGTGATGTAACTAATGTATTTATGTCCTTATGCCAGTCGTTAGCGCTGGACAATGCTTGACCTCTTATAGCGCTTACATCATCGGCTGCCGCTCACACTTCCATGTCAACACACAGGAGCAGACCGAGAAGTGCACACGGAACGCACACAATGTAGCAAAGAAGAGACTGGCAACTTAAAACCAAAGAAACATCATTTAAGAATTACTGTATAACTGATCAGCCCATGATGGAACATACTGTACTTGAGATGAGTTGCATAAAATCATTTTCCATTTTTTGAAGGGAAATTTTGGGCTGGGTGATATGTAGAAAGAAATACATCTCAATTTTATTTTTTTTTATAATTCGGTAAACGATACGATATTTTTACAGGGTTAAGTTTATATATTTCTAACCCTAACCCCCCAAATACAAACATACCAATTGTCAAAGTCAGTCAAAGAGGGAGTCAGTTCAAGCAGGAACAAATGATTTCTGTCACATGTATTTCCTATAAACAAAAATCATAGTTTAAATGTGAAATAAATGAAGACATGATACATATTGCCTTTCTTTATTCAAAAATAAAATTGCTCAACTTTATATATATTCACTGCATAGGAACATGCAGTGAATATAGAGACAAGACTAAAAAGGGTACAAAGAAAAACATGATTACATTAGTAGTAAGTAACTTGTTCCAATTCAGCCGCTCTCTTCGTATTGATATTATCTGATATTATCGCCTATGACTGTCATCGCCTACCTCTAGTGAGAATGCTTATTAAAATGTGGCCATACCTGCATGTGAAAGTTAGCGTCTAAAGCCAGGCAGGGAAGGGCCTGGTTAGTACTGTGATGAGAGACCCCCGGGAACACCAGGTGCCACAGTGCGGCGGCTGCTGATGTAAAGTGCCACACTGACATTGTGTCCTTGGGAAAGACACTTCACCACACATTGCCTAAAGGCTTGTGTGTTCGTGAATGGTAGGCGGTGGTTGGAGGGGCCGATGGCACATACTGGTTTCCTTGCTTCTGTCAGTGTGCCCCAGGGCAGCTGTGGCTACATTATTAGTTCATCACCATGTGTTTGGAGTGAATGGATAGTAACATGTGAAGCTTACTTGAGTCTCCTGAAAAGCACTGTATAAACCAATGCATTATTATTATTATTATTAGATTCAGATTCAGTTTATTTGCCATTTGCAGTAAAAAAAAAACACATTGGAATACATGAGCAAAAAGTCCCCAGTGTGCACAGACAAATACAGACATAACACAACATTAAAAGTACAGAAAAAAAAACCAAATAAAACAGTAAACAATTGTCACTGTGAAATCGATTGACTAAAACAGTTTCAAAAACAAGTGCAAATCATTAAAGTGCCTTTATTATCAAAATGTTGCAACATACATGTACACACAGATTTGTAGCCAGTGCTGTACAGTATGTGCTTTCCTCACAATCATTTGTTGATTTCTTTTCACTCCATCCAATCATTTAAGTGTTTCGTTCCCATTCCTTTACATTTGAGCATGTGTGGATTTGGCTCTTCGTTCTTAAGTCCCTAATTCAAAGTGATTTTGGCGCAAGACTTCTATTCTCTTTATCATCTCTTTCCATTGACACAGCAGCTCTGAATGTGACAGCAGCCTCTCCAGCCGCTCCTTTGAGTCATGTGACCTGTCAGCTGATGCCGGCTGTGAGTGCAGATGCTGGAGCTACCTCTGCTGTAGGCCAAGCACATGTCAGCACTGAGCTCACAGCACGTCCACACACGAGGGATTGATTCCCAACAATGAAAGCTGCAAATGGATGGCAATTGTATAGATTTATTTTGTAATCATAGGGTTTTAACACTAGAACTCCCAGGGCTTTTATTTTGAAAGTGTAGTTCTCAGCTCATGTGAATTTTTGATCTTTTGTAAATTTGTGACTGTTTCTGTTTCTTTATGGAGTGTATTCCTACGATAACATTTTTATGAAATTATCTTCCATCCATCCATCCATCCATTTTCTACCCTTTAATCCATTTCTGGGTCAGGGGGGTGGCAATCAGAGATGCCACCCAAGTCTCATAGCACCAGCCCCTCACTGACCCTCTGCAGGTGGTGAGTCCACAGGAGGACGGCTGCTCTCTGAGTGTGAGCATAGCCTTGATCTTTCAGTGGGGGCTTTTGGGCAAAGTGGGGTTAAGTGTCTTGCCCAAGGACACAACCACAGCAGACATCAGTGAGAGTCGGTGGAGAAGGTGCAGAGGAATTGAACCCACGACCTTCTGGCCTTAAGGCCAATGCTCTACCAACTGAGCTACTGTCGCCCCATGAAATTATCTTCATTTTGAAATTGAGTAGAAACGTTTTTTTTAAAAGGGGAATGTTTTATTCATTCCCTCCAAACACGGTGGTAATAAACTACTGCTGTTGCCACAGCTGCCCAGGGGCACACTGACAGAAGCGAGGCAACCAGTATTCACACCAGTATTCACACACACACCAGACACATTCTAGGCAGTGCGGGTGAAGTGTCTTGCCTAGGGGCACAACAATTTGGTACTTTACAGCCGCAGCCGCCCCAAAGCATAGCACTGTTAACTTGCTACTAGTTAACATTAGCCTTTTAACCAACTGTTTTTTCACCAGTTTTCACACTTATTAAAAGTGAGTTAAGGTACATTTGAATAATACTGAGGGTAAACTCACTAACTTTTCAGAATTCCTTTGTTTTGAAGCAGTCAAAATGACGGCTCTGAGAGTCCTGGTGTTAATAAGGGCATTACTGCATCGAAAGCATCATGTCAGTTCGCCAAAAAGTATTTTCCTGCCATATTATCGATGAGACTGCATGGGTTTTCCTCACCAAGATGAATTATTGCCATGTTTGTGAGTCCATAGCCTCTTGAGAGTCCATATAAGTAGTTAGACTAGAGCACACATATTGGTTGGTATGTCAGTCTGAAACCAGTCCAATTACAAGGCAGCTTTCGGGCGGACTGTGAGGAGAAGATGCAGACAGTAGAGAATGCTGCAACTGTAGGTTTTCTTTAGCAGAAATAAAGACAAAAAACACAGGAACGATGAGCATTTAGTGACGATCAAAAGTGTCAACATAAAGTCCCAGCTTTAACATCATGGTCTAAAAGGCACAGGAATAATTGACAACTCATTCAGGATTCTAGGCAGCAATACAAAGAATGTCCTAAAGGAGAAGGCAAAAGCAAAAACTACATTCACCCAAACATGGCTCATTATGAAAGGCATCACTTCTCATGTGACTTGTTTTTTAAAACCAACTTCATCCGACTCATCCTGACATATCCGTGCATACAGAGAGTTGTTTCTTATACGTTTAAATACGCTCATTTACAGTTTGTTACCGTCTATGCTGTACATTCTAGGTAAAGCAGTTTTTATTCTCAAATTAGTGTATTAAAAATGCTAGGAGACTTTTACTAAATGACATCTCCCAAGTGCACTTTGTGGCTATGGTTGGTTCAGTTCAAACTGGGTAAGCGCGCACAGTAGTTGCTTTCTTCAAAATATTTTACTTAAAAGGTCTTATCTTTCCCCTCTATCTTTTCCCATCTTTAACAGTTTCCACAGAAGCAGACCCAGATGGATGACGCTCCTTGACATTGTAATTCCATCACAACTTTCCCCTAAACTTTCACCATCTCTCTCTTGTCTTTATGAATAAGACTTGAGCCTGAAGCAGAGCATATCCACGGGGCAATCTCTGTTCGGGCTCTTGTCTACTTGATTCTCCCTTGTCTCTCTTCCCCCTCCATCTCCCCCCCCCCCTCTCCACTTCTTCACTTCTCTGCACTGACACGTTAGTCAAATCTGCCCATTATGCGCTTCGTTGGCCATGCGTCGCTTTTTATATCCGGCATAAAGAAGCCCAATGACACTGAAAAGAGGGAGCACGCTGGAGAAGGCAGCAGACAAAGTAGTGGGTTATACTTTTAAAAAGTCGGTAACAGAAACGCATTGACACTGCTCTTGCATTTGTTTTGTCGTTGCTTCCTGTTCAGGGTCTTGGACGGACGGGTTGTTACGGTATAATTATACAGTTCGTGGTGTGGTCTGTCATTTGGCACAAAAGACAGGAGTATGTCTCAACAAGAGTGCTAAATGATGTTGTGCCGGATGGGATTTTGTAATAGCGAAACAGCTATAAATAAATTAATGACAGTGTACTGACCATATGTTTGACATTGGCAAATTGAATGTCTTGGCAAGTGAGGGAGTAAACCTCTACCTATAAAAAGAGTTTCATCACCATGAGGACTTTTATATGACCGTAGAAAAGATGAAATCACATTTTGTACGACCGCAGTTACATGGGTAATTCAGATTTAGTGTGGCGGCTATATAAATAAGTTATAGCTTGCTTGTTTAATTTTCTAATGCAGTTTGGTTTTCACAAGTTGAACAGAAGAATAGTGTGTCCAATGGTGTTTACATTTTCTGGTTCTAAATGATTTATCTAAATAATCTGGGTTGAAATTTCGGTTTCCGTTATGATGAAGAGGCATGGACAGATAGATCCATGGTCCATTCAGTGTCAAAATGGTGGCATATGCGGATAGGTTAAAATCATGTAATACATGTTGTACAGGCCTAGGACTAAATTACTGTGTAAACATATTTTAGTCAATTCTATCAATTCCCCCAAAAAATATGAAGACACTGCAGATGAAGAATGAGCTGTTGTAAAAGATCCTCAGATGTATAATCGTCAGAGCCAGTGCGACAAATCTGTTGTAAACATTGACATAAAAGCATCATTTACACAAATCTTTTTACGTCTGCATTGAATGTTGTTCTCTGAGAGTGAGCTGCCTCTTGTACACTGTAAAAAGTGATGGAAAATAACTCCAAATTGGTTCAAATTTGGTAAAATGTATCTTAATTTGAGCACATTCTGCCTGCTTTAAAACAAGATTTTCCAATAGGACAAGCTAAATTATCTTGTTTAAAAAAAAAATAAAAAAAATACTTGATTTAAGCAATTATTACCTAATATATTATCATTTTTGCAGTGTATATACCCATCTGATTTAAGCCATAAGCCCCAACATCCCTCTTAAATCAGTTTATTGCCAATTTCATGCAAACATTATGTTATAAAACAGTATAAAAGCTATTAATTAAACAGATGCTGATTGTCAACTTCAGAATCAAAATTATTATGATACTCCAAAAAACCAATTCTAATGATATTTCAAGCTAATACTATTAATGATATAAGGACAACATTTGGTGTGGTGCCTGCATGCTCTGACGTGGCCCTTCTACCCGTACTCACCAAACAGCATCAGCAAGCAGCGCTGGTTTGGCTGCGAGCCGGGCCGTCGCCATAGGGACCCCATTCAAAGACCCGTCGGCTGAATCACCTGAGAGAAGAGCAGAGAAGATGCCAAGAAGAGTAGACCTTGTAAGACTGTGGGTTTTCTTATTTACTTGTCCTCAACCACCATCAAGTTACGGTTTTGTGCTTAAGAAATGCACTGCTATGCTAAGAATTATCCAAAGACCCTGGTCCCTCTTCACAACAGGTGGGAATGCAGATGAAAAAGAAAGTATCCAGGAGGTAGGCGCAGGAATCGCAATGCCAAGAATAATGAATACAGGTTCATACATATCAATTCAATTCAGGCGATGGTAAACTATGTAGTTCTAGCGCCTGACCAGTAGTGGGCCGTGGATCTTTACAACACGAAACACCGTGTTCATGTAAACGAAAGGCCAAACTGATAACCTACTCTGCCGTTTTAATGTTGCAGCGTCCTTGTAAACGGCACATAAATGTATTCTTGTATAGCTCTAAATCACCTCAGTGGTTTTCTCGGAGGACTTGACAAAAACGTTGAATTCGCCAACACATGTCAGAGAATGAAACAGACACAAGAAATGCAGTAATTAAAATAATCATATAGAGTCATTGGTCCTTAGTAAGTAAGTAGTAAGTAATCTTTATTTATATACCGCCTTTCACAGACCAGAGTCACAAAGCGGTTTACAATTGTTATTTCTGGGCACTTGTCCTCTCACTCCACACAGAGATGGGAGCGGGGTCGCCGAACAGGAGGCGCATGCCAGACCTATTGTACATATTTTTAGTGGTAGGGGAAACCGGAGTACCCGGAGGAAACCTACGCACACACGGGGAGAACATGCAAACTCCACTCAGAAAGGCCCTGGTCCGGCCGGGATTCGAACCCAGGACCTTCTTGCTGAGAGGCGAGAGTGCTATCCACTCAGCCACCGTGCCGCCCAAGGGCTAGATGATCAATGTCCATACATGTCCATAAATGTTAAAGTACCTGTACATACGGTTAACCATTAGAAAACCATTGGTCAGTCTGTAAAACAGAAAGACCAGAATAGAACTTGCCAAACAGGTTCAATCAAATCAATCAATCATATGTATTTATAAAGCACAATTCATACAGTGGAACCCAAAGTGCTTCACAAGCAATTAAAAGAACAATTAAAACAAAAACAGTGTATATACATATGAAAAATAATGTATTAAAAAGATAAAAGTTACGAACATTGAAAAAAAAAAATGCTTCAGATGAGTCATATGCATACCTGGATAAGACAGTTTTCAGCCTGGACTTAAACATTGCCAAGGACGAGGCCTGTCTCAGAAGCTCAGAAAGACTGCTCCAAATTCTGACCGCATAAATTTGAAACGCTGCCTCCCCATGTTTAGTCCTGACCCTAGGCACCAGCAGGAGGCCAGTCCCTGTGCTCCTCAGAGTCCGAGCCGGTTCATATGGCGCTAACATGTCTCAGATAAGGCCATGTAGAGACTTATACACAAGCAGAGCTGCTTTAAAGTCAATTCTTTGAGCCACAGGAAGCCAGTGCAGAGACCTAAGAACTGGACTAATGAGGTTCTTGAAAAAGCTTTAAAAGTCCTGGAACAACATAAGAACAGATGAGACGACTATCAACTTGTAGCTGCAGAGTAATGGTAAACTGCTCATGATCCAAAACATCCTTATCGCAGTGGTGATGTCATGGCGTGCGCATGAAAAGCCGCCAAGCTGACAGTGACAAATATACACCCTGCCAATAGAGACTGAAAAGGAACAATATTTGTATAAAGTGCACAGGACAGGACATGAGTTACAGAAATGATAGGTGGGATGTGGCTTTCAAAATCTGGGTCACAAAGCTTCAGAATGCTAATGTGAGCTTCAGAATGCTAATGTGAGCTTCAGCAACCTAGGAATGATACGATTCCAATCTCACTATTATTACGAGTCTGTTTTGGTATGGCAAACTAGAGCATTTCTCTCTTCACTCGCAAAGGAATTCAGAGTGGCCTCCTAATGGCTTGCATGTGTCTCGATTAAGACGCTGGCACAGGTTTAAAATGTTAATGTTCTTTGTGCGCTCTCGGTCGACGGTTGGGTGAGGTTATGTGGTGGGATTTGCAGTAAAGATTGTTAATTGGCAGGCTATGGTAAGAATGCGGTTAGTCAGACGGCTGGAACGCACCATGGCAGTCTCTCTCTTCCGGATCAAGAGCAATGCAACTGATATTCTGCAGTGAATCAATTAGTCCAGAACGGTTTTGTCATGTAGAAATGACACCTTGTGCAAAATGTTAAGCACTGATTTTAGATAAGCTTTAGAAAATATGTTGATTGAGTGCCACACAATACTGAATATTCACAATCAAAAAATGACCTTGAAGACGTTGAAAGATAACTTCAGCGCTTTATGTCGGAAAAAACTGAAAGCCACTGGAGATATTTTTCTTTAAAATCATATTTTCTCATTCTTTGCATAGCTAAGATTATAGAGACACTTCACATGACATCATTGACCTTTCTGTTCACATTTTTTTCCAAATAATGAGGCATTTTATCCAATAAGAAGCAGTAGGGTTTTATTATACAAGTTAGAACAACACAGCTGGACTTACTTAACTAGAAGTCGATGTTAGTGGATTAATTATTCGAAGATGTTATGAGCTTAAGCCATGTTTGACTCATGGAAAGTCGCCATAGGGTTGCAAAGTGTATTTCCATTTCCAGAAACAAAACTAGAAGCATAGAGCCAGACTGCAAAGATGACAACCCACTTCCTAATAGTCATGTATCAATGATGGCTCTATCTTTACGCACGCCATTTTGGAACTTGTCCACATTTTGTCAGTGTGGACACGCCGTTCTGTCATGGTCTGGATTTTATTTTTGTACTTTGGTTTTATTTTGACATCAGTTTTCTGTGGTTTGGTTTCAGTTGTACCTCCTGTGTTGTTCCCCTGTATTGATGGTCTGCCCCGCCCTCATGTGTTTCACCTGTGTCTGGCCCTATCCCATCACCCACACTGCCCCCTACACTCCTCTACGAAGTGTGCATTTGTTTGAAGTGCACACAAGGGTTTGAGTGCGCAGTTTACAAGCGTACAAAAAAAGGCGGAATTGGGACAGTGCTGGTTACGACATCGACTCGTCATTTTCAGACCTAAAATTTACCAGATTAAAGGTCATTTCGTCCGACCCTGTGGGAAACAAAATGAGTTGCTCCACACACGCTAAAATGCATGTATATTGGTTATTCGTAATTTGAGATAGCTGTGTAATTTTAAGTTAAATGTGGGTAACGTACTGTTACCTGGTCAGTTTTTATACATCCTAACTTTATTGTATTAAGTGTAAAGTTTAAATTGAATGTTTTATGAACCCTTGCATTAAAAAAGTTATGAAATTGTTAGCATAGAAAGTCCGTAATTCTTCATCAGACATTTATGCTTCTTTCCAAGTAACATAGCACAACTTATTTACACACATACAGCATATATATTTCAAAACTTAGACTTGAATGCATTTTCTCGACATTTTTGTGTGTACTGCAAAGAATTCTGGGCAATATCCTTCGCCAGAGTCCGCTTAGATGCAGACTACAGCGAAGTGTGGATCAGGGGCACAAAGGGGGCGGGGCCAAAGACCTCCCTGGAGGATTGGGACACCCTATGCACTCGCACCCATACTCGGGAACGCGCAAATGAGGGGCGCGAGGGTGGAAGTGCGAGTGTTGGGACGGGGCCTGAGTGTCTATATGTACCTGTGCTACTCTCTTCTAGTTGCTTGTTCATTATAGTGTCTTCGTTCGTTCATGTCTTCGTTCCTGGTTCCGTTTTGGTATTTTGCATTTGTTATATTACCTTTGGAATTTTGTTTTTTCATCATCAAATCATTTATATGTTTTTCATTCCTGCATTTTGAGTCCTCCATCATCTCCCTTCACGACAAGATCATGCCGTCACATTCTAATACAGTAACAATTATTCAAACATCAGATTACAGTAGTGTGTATGTGATGGAAAATAACAGCACACTTTGGCTCCAACATCCATCTTGTTGGTAAATAAAAAGCAGCTTCACAGAGGATCCCGGGTTTGTAACATGGAAACTGCATGCGGCCTGTGTGGTGTGATTTGTGATTGCAAGTGTTGTGTTCCCTGGAGTAGAGGAGGAGGAGAGGTCCACTCAGAACCTCCACCTCCGCCCCCGTGTGGTCACCATGGGCAGCGGTGCCTGGGTCATGCCGGGGCAGCTGGGTGGGTGAAGTCGAAGGGGACAGGGCGAGGGGAGGTGACCGAGGGAGTGATACATCCAGAAGCTGATGACATGAGGACAAAGAGTGAAAGAACGCAGTGTGCTCTGTCTGCTTTACAGTGATTATGAATGACACTTGTATATCATAATTATATATTTTGATTGTTTTAGGTTTAAAATAAGGAATCATGTGACCTGAGTTTAAAGTGGCAACACTGTTCATCACCACAAATATGACAACAAAGCGTTGACATAGAAGATCACTAGTTTGTTTTCCCCTCTGCCAAATCATCTCGGTATTACAATAAGTATGTGCTGATGTTAAAACGCTTTTTTAGTTCTTTTGAAAGACAAGTTTAGATGTATTACCTTGTTGACATGTTTTGGCTGCAGAAACATGCTTTCTCATTTCGCTGTATGACAGAAGACAAAAGCCTGGACTTTCCCTCTATACTTGAACACACACAACACACTCATTCTGCAAGTGCGACAGTATACGACTTCCTCCTTGAGCTGCAGCAATGAACGGACAGCAGAGATGGCATTTTAAACCAGGCAGTGGTTCCACATCTCTCTCTCTCTCTCTCCATCTTCCCTCGTAGCCTCTTGTTTCCCTCCGACCTCTGCTCTCCCAGTGAAGGCAGTTTCAGCACGCAGCCTGCCGTAGGGACCCAGGCAGCGACAGCGTGCCCAGCTGCATGCCAACTGTGCCCGCGGGCCTGCCCTAGCCCCGCGCACCTCGGGGAGTAAACAGCATCTCCGGCTCTCTCCACTTCCCCATAAAGTGTCCTCCCCCTAAGCCTATACTCAGACTCCCAAATGTCCTTCCCCCAACTCCGCAGGCACGTCTTCCTGTTTAATTCTAATGAGGCTATGCATGATTTAAGTTTATGGAATTTTATTGAAGCAAGCTGTATTTTTACATGCAGGTATAAAATTGAAATATTGGCGATTGGATGTCATGGTTCATTGTCAGTGACCATTGGTGCACAAAAGCGTAAACAAGAAGCACATTATGGTAGTGTTCAAAGCACATATTTAAAAATGACTACCACCCATTACGCTCATCAATGTTTCTGGAAAAAAAAAGTTTGGAATTTAAGCAAGTAAGTAGGCAAGGCATGGAAAGTTTATTTGTATAGCACAATGGAAGCCCAAGGAAACTCAATTCCTGAACAAAACAAGATAGAAAGAATCGCACAAGGCATCAAAAATCAGTAATAATCCCGGAAAATGAGAAATAGTAAAGATAAAAATAATGTTTTTAACCAGGATTTCAACATCGTCAGAGAAGAAGCCTGTCCCACATTTTAAGTAAGATTGTTCCAGATTTTAGCAGGAACAAATATGTTTAATTCTGACTTTGGGCACCAGCAGGAGGCCAGTCCCCGTGCTTCTCAGAGTCAAAGCAGGAGGCCAGTCCCTGTACTCGTCAAAGTCCCAGCAGGAAGCTAGTCCCTGTGCTCCTCAGAGTCAAAGCAGGAGGCCAGTCCTTGTAGTCCTCAAAGTCCCAGCAAGAGGCCAGTCCCTGTGCTCCTCAGAGTCCCAGCAGAAGGCCAGTCCCTGTGCTCCTCAGAGTCCCAGCAGAAGGCCAGTCCCTGTGCTCCTCAAAGTCCCAGCAGGAGGCCAGTCCCTGTGCTCCTCAGAGTCCCAGCAGAAGGCCAGTCCCTGTGCTCCTCAGAGTCCCAGCAGGAGGCCAGTCCCTGTGCTCCTCAGAGTCCCAGCAGGAGGCCAGTCCCTGTGCTCCTCAGAGTCTGAGTTGGTTAATTTGGCAGTAAGTAAGCTTCTTCTAGAGTCCAGTAAACTGCTGTTGTTGAGGGGCAAAGGCCATAGATTTAAAATGAGTTGGAGAAATCTGAACTGATTCAAAGCTGCCCAAAGAACTTCCAATTTCCGCAGTCCCACTCCATCAGAACACTCACTATATGCGGAACAAGGCATGGTCCGGAATCCCCTGCACCTCTATATCTATGTAAAACATAGGCTTGCTGCAGAATATTGTAAAGGTCCTTGCCAAAGTCTGTGAACACCCACTGACAATTATTCCTTCCTTTCTTTTGTGAGCAGATATTGTGAGGAAGAGGCACTCATCACATCCTATTCAAATGCTCATCTGGCAGCAGGCTCCTGTCTCAGTGTCTGCTGCGATGTCCAGGCGGCGTGTCACAGAGAAGGACGGACACCCTGACGCCTTCCTCATTTAAGCTGCACTGACAGGGCTGACTCCTGCTTCCAGATGCAATCCAGGTTTTCCTTTAACCACTGCATCACAACCGTTCGACTGTGAATTGAACCACTAGATTTTAATTGGTTTGCTTGCAAAAAGGGAAGTTTTTGTGGCTGATTTGGAGGAGATTGAAACATACGGTAAATGTAACTTTAAACCTTTTTGTTTGCATCTGTCACACGAGAGATGAGTCAGGGCTGCGTCGGGAGCCGTTTATTTATTTCTTTCCGACCGTTTACGTTTTGTTTGCTTACTTCAGTTCATTACAGTTTATAATTTATCTTTTGTTTGCTGCATTATTTTCACACTTCAAACGCAATACTGGAATCAGACTCTTTTAGCATTGGCTTCAAAATGCGCCTTTCTGTTTGGAGTTTACATGTTCTCCCCATGTCTGTTTAGGTTTCCTCCTGGTGCTCTGGTTTCCTCCTGGTGCTCCAGTTTCTTCCTGGTGCTCCGGTTTCCTCCTGGTGCTCCGGTTTCCCCTACCACTAAAAACATGAAATGAGTGAGTGAATGGCTGTTGTTGGGGGTTTTGGCGTCTCACTTCCATCATCACCGTGTGGAGAGAATGGAAAAATATCTGAACTCTGAACAATTGTAAAACACTTGGATTTACCTTGGTCTGTAAAATGCGCTATATAAATAAAAAAACTACTTACTTACTTTCATAAACCCACTCTGACCGGCTCAGGTTTGCAGGAAGCCACAACACTTTTATTTAACTAAGTGGGAAAAGTATGTTAACATTTGACCCGACCGTGGCCATGTTGAAAAACCAACACTACAATTCCCAATCTTGAAAAGCTCTTCTCCCTATTTTTCATCTCTCCATCTTCTTCTCCCGTTCTCCACACTGACTGACAGGCTCTGAATTGCTCGACGGCTCTACCCAGATAAAACCCATACAACCCAACACATGCACACGCACACACACACACACACACACACACACACACACACACACACACACACACACACATACGAACCACTTCTACTGTCATAAAATGAAATCCTGCCATTCCTGGACCATTGCAACCAACACAGAGCACCCACTAGAATGTAGACTGACATCCTCTTTGTCCCAACTCCCCTCGCTGCGCCCTCCCCCCACCCTCTTCCCTGATGCCAGCGAGCGCGCGGTCACTTTCGCCGCAACGCTACTGAGCATCAATCTATGTGTAAGAGGAGAGAGGGAGTGGGCGTGAGACCGGGGCGACAGACAGATCGTGAACGACAGCGGAGTTTGTGTGTGCGTGTTGTGTGTGTCGGAGAGGCTCTCAGTGTGCAATGTCAGGGCTGGCTGTGTGAGCTGACACTGATTATAGTCTTCACTGCCTCACTCCCATCACAGGCAACTATAGCCGTGGCCAAAGCCCTATATTTCTTAAAAAAAGAAAAAACTTTGCAGCATGAAGAATGGATTTTTTGGGTTGTGTATATGTGTATGTGTGTGTGTGTGTGTGTGTGTGTATGTGATAGAAGTTTAACAACATGGCTTGCTAATGGTGGGAAATTAACGGTGTAATGATGGGGTAATGTTGCAAAGTGGTTGCTTTCATACGTTTTACACCAATTTGCAAATAGAAAACAGACATGACTGAGATCTGTGAGGTTTGAAATATACAGTATATTCCCTTTAGAGCCGTAGAATTTTAGTTTTGCATCTTGCATCGTGTTTGGATATAAAATAATAATGGTGCTTAGAGTTCAAAGTAAATTCACAATGAGTTGCAGTATTTATTCCAATGTTGCCAAGCTAATGCCAGAGCTGCCCTGGGGCACACTATGGGAATTGGCTGCTGCTCTGCACCTGTGGTCCCTCTAACGGTCATCAATCACACAGAAATACTGGAAACTGGATGGGTGAAAACATTTTTTGAGATTATTCTATTTAACTAGATAGGAAAACCAGATAAGAAATGTCAGGTTTGCCATGAATGAACAGTGGGAAAATAATGAGGCTCAAGCAATATGAACAAGAACACAATGTAGAGCTGTAATGTGAATAACTTAAAGTCCTTGGTACCCGGGCTTTCAATTGGGGTTTCGAATATTTAAAAAAATTATCCATGTTACTAGCTCCGTGCTCTCAAAACAGTTTTGACCATGTCCATGACCTTTAAGGACATTTATCAACATTCATGGACATTGGTCAACTCCCCTATGGACCAATACCTTTAGTGTTCTATATTCTTTATGTCGGGGGCAACAGTAGCTCAGTTGGTAGAGCATTGGCCTTCAGGCCTGAAGGTCGTGGGTTCATTTCCCACCTCTGCACCTTCTCCACCGACTCCCGCTGTTGACTGCTGTCGTTGTGTCCTTGGGCAAGACACTTAACCCCACTTTGCCCAAAGCCCCCACTGAATGATCAAGGCTATGCTCACACTCAGAGAGCAGCCGTCCTCCTGTGGACTCACCACCTGCAGAGGGTCAGTGAGGGGCTGGTGCAACGAGACTTGGGTGGCATTTCTGACTGCCACCCCCCTGACCCAGAAATGGATTAAAGGGTAGAAAATGGATGGATGGATGGATGGATGGATGGATGGATATTCTTTATGTCTTAACTGTTGATTCTCTGATCTGTGTTTGTGAATTCAACAGTTTTGTTAAGTTGTGATTTAGGGCTATACTTGTATTTCTGACCTCTGTCACTTCTTAAGATCGACTTTTTCATAAAGAAAAAGAGGACTAACATCACTAAGCTTAATCAGCTCAGAGCCAAGACGCCACAGGAGATGCAAGTTTTCAAAAGATAAAATGTTTTGGAATTTTGTGACACAATCAAAAATAAAGTCAGAATATACAAAAAATATGGATGGATGACGCTGTGAACGTATCTCAATGGCTACTCAGCAAAGCAGAGGGCCACTTAAAATTAGACAGTGGGCCGCATATGTCCCGCGGGCCACGGCACTAGAACGTACGCTACACTACAGATTTTATTATTCTCGGCGGACGCCGCATTCAAAAGACTGACCTCTCAGGATTCTCAAGGCTGAGCGTCACTGCACTCTCCTCTCCACCTGTCCACTTACATGAGGCACAAAGGTTATATGTGCCCAGTGGATATCTCTCCTTCCTCTGTCATGTAAACCAGAAGAGATCGTGGCAATGACTCACCACGACATGTAAGAGGAGCGGCGAAAGAGCGAAAATCAATATGTATCTGCTTCAAGGTGGATGTACGGCGGCGAACAAGACCAAAATCACACATATGCACGAGGCACAGAAAGTTGATGATTGGAGGTTGGACTTATATGCAATATTGAGGAATCATTTGGGTATACATTTTTCTAAGAAGTTTGCATTCAAAAATAAAGCAACATCTGTAAAATCTGGGGCACCTAATTTTCCTCAACCACAAAAATGAAACTATGTAATAAAATCTCAAACAGTTCCTCGCTTTCAAAACTATCACTAGTTTTGACAAGCATGTATTTTTTGGCCTCTGTTGCGTCTTTGGATTTGCTTTTTCAGACAGAAAAGTGAAAGAGAGAGGACCAGCTCTCACTCTCAAAATTGTGACTCGCACGGTTCTTACACATATGCAAATTATGAGTCGTTTTCTATTTAGATAAAGACATGTTGTGGACCAAAATCAAGTTTGCATACCCCAAGTTTAATAAACAAATACATCTTTAATGCAGCTCAATTCAAATCACAACAGTAGTTATCGCGGAGGACTTCACAATACCGTTGAATTCGCCAACACAGATCAGAGAATCAAACAGCTCAAACACAATGATCAAAAACACACATAGTCAATGGTCCATAAGGGCAGATGTAGCTCGGACTTAGCCATCTGTGAACTCTAGTCCATTATCATTTCCTATGTGATCCTAGTGGCTGCAGTTTCCTCGGTTGAATCCACTCACTCCGCAATCCAGCGAGCGGGGGAGGCGGGTGTTGTAGGTAGCTGTCAGTGACGTCAAGAGTTTGCGCTGAATTTGCTGGTTGTAGTTTGGCAATGGCTGAAAATGCGATAGTAAAATAATCCGTTCTGGTTCAGTTCCTAATATCAAGAAATTGAAGCCCGGGCATGAGGAATGTTTAGCAAATGTCATTGCTGCAAAGATGTTGTGGCTCTACTCCCCACGGGCTCCTTTAATGGTAAAGGAGATGGCTAAAGCGAGGCTAAATGCTAGAGCTAGGCTAATGCTAAATTTCTCACTCACTCGGGCGCATTACATACGTCACGGTAAACTCAGATCCAATCGTTTCAATCTGCGAAAGGAGTTAACCCCTCTCACCTGTTCACGGAGCTCAATGGAGCAAATCCAGACCTTAGTACCAAATGAAATTAGTACCATGATGGGGTAAGACCAGGCTAGGGCAGATGACCAGTGTTTATAAATGTTGATCTGTGTCCATAAATGCACACGGATTGGATTGCGAGAAATGGACAGAACAATAAACTTTGTCTGATCTGACGGAGTAAGATGTAAGTACGACAGCAGAGTTGTATTTGAACCCCGCTGTATACTGTACATGGACGGCAACAATCAAGAGTCATCTTCACACAGAGTCCAAACTTTCCTCTACCCTCTCTTCTCTCATCTTTCTTGCGTGTCACTGGTGTTGTTCTACTTTCTCCTTTCTTCTTGTTTTCGAATCCCTCACGCGCTCCCTTTGAACACATGCGCCTCAACCCCAGTGTCCTTCTGAATTCTATCACACCTTCATCTCACAAATAAATCTCTGTGATTCATTCCAGTCCTGCTTTTCCCAACTGGGTGGACCTCTGCTGAAGTGAGCCGGCTTCTCAATAGTTGTGGCGGGTCGTGTACAGTAACCTATGGCTTCATTTACTGTATGTGGTAGAGATGGTGCACATGGTTAGCTATGCTTCTAAACAAGTCCAAACCAGGACTAAACTACGACTTAAGCAGGACTAGACCCTGTCCAGACCAGGATTTAAGCAGGAATAAACAATCTAAACCAGAACTAAAGCAGGACTAAACCAGGTCCAAACTA